CTCTTTTGGAGACGGAACCCGGCAAGGAAAAGAAGACTCTGAGGTTGGTTTCCATTTCTCATTGAATCTTGAAGACATCTTTGCTCAAAGTAGATAGTTTAACTTGCAGATGGATTTGAGTTTGTGAGTGACACTCGTATGATTTCAATTTAAGTCTCTAATATCGGGTTGTTTTTTTTTGTCCCGAAAAATAAGCCTGCGGAAAAACGCAGCTCAAGGTTGTCTGAGTCAGAAGATGGAGAAACGCTATGTAGATATGCGAAAGCGTTTTGGAGTATCAGTGGTGACCATGAGAAGGCCTTGTTCTATTTCGAGAAGGCCGTTCAAGCCTCTCCAAATGACAGGTACAAGTACGAAAATGATATCTTACACAATCTCTTTCATTTTTCACATTTAGAAGCTGAAATGCGATCATCATCATCTTCTTCTGTGTTTGAGCAGCATTATCCTCGGAGAGTACGCACGGTTCCTATGGGAAATAGAAGAATGATCATCGAGAAGAAGAGGAAGAAAATATCAGTAGCTGAGGAAAATTCTCAGGTTCATGATATAAGCTCTTGGGTATATTAGCTCACTCGTGTCCGTTATGTCTTGTATACTCAGAAATGACAATCTGTTCAAAAAAATTCCATTTCTCTATCTGTCGTAGATTCGAATGCATTTGCAGAATAAAACCTTTCATTTTCCAACTATGTAATATAAATGCTTATTGATACCCTCGGACCCACGTTATAATCACAAGTTAATTTACACTTTCTTAATGAAACAGACTAATACTACTGTCCAATTTCCTTCGTATGGGTCTTTTCACATTCGTTTGGAAGTTCTTTGAGACTGTTAAGATTGTTTTTTCACATTTTTTTGGAAGTTCTTTTCTTGAACATTCTAGATAATGGTCCTTACATTCACCAAAAATTCCTACCTCCCAAGAATCTGAACTAACAGAAGTAAAACAAAATATAATAACAAATTTCATGAAATTAAAAGTTTGGACTTGGGAATTTAATAGCCATCTC